GCTGTCTCTCACCTGTGCTGCATAGAACTGCTCATGCTCTCTGGGAGATTCTAGGCTTTTGGTGAGTTCCTGCCCATCCAAGGGAGCCAGTGGAGAGGAAGAAAGGGATAAATACAGTTGTAGAACTTCAAACAGAGAGGAGCTCATCCAATCCCTTTTCCTTTCCTCCCTCCATTTTGTAGGCAGGGACTGAGGGCTGAAGGATAATGTGAGCCCAAGGTAAGGGCACCCACAGAAAGGGAGTCTCCCCAGTCTCCCTCCCACCGTGGTCCCTGACCTTTAATCTTTGCCACTTCAGGGGGTTCCCAGTAGGGTCTGAGGGCTTGGACGCCATCCGAGATTTTATAGTCAACTTGCTCATAGGGAGATGGAATTTTTGGATGGGCGTGCCCTCTTTGAGTTGCCTATGTGAGAAATTGCACAGGCAGCCTTGGTCCCCTTGTTCCCTCCCTCGTACTTCACAAACCTTCCTCTGCCCTTGGTCCTCAGCCCAGCTCAGAGATGGGACCAGAGGAAGACAGATGCCCCGCCTCCTACCCCAGGCTCCTCTCTGGGATCTGTAAGCTGGATTTGCCCCACCCCCTACCCCACTCCTTCCTTCTCCTTCCTCTCTTTCCTAGAAGGTATGAAGGGTGTGGAGAATAGGGAGGAGCAAAGCACACCTGGGGTGATCTCTCATTTTCCACAACATTTTCTGGGCATCCCGTTCTTGTCGCTGATCATACAGAGTGTGCCAGTGTGTGTAGATCTCAGGCTTCTTGAAGTAGCAGTAAGGCACTGAATGTGGCTTGCTCGGGTGCTGCCTCCAGCACTCTGGGCTTGGGGGAAACTCTTCCTTTGGCATCTGGGGGGTGTGAATGGCACAGCAGTGGGAGGGCATATTCCTCAGCCAGGAAAAAGACCAGGATAAGAAGGGACTAGGTGAGAGGGATGCCCTTTAGTCTCTCAGCTAGAGTCAGAGACCTCCTACCCATTGTGTGACTTGGGCAAGTGACTTCACCCACCAAGATCTCAGTCTTCTCATCTGCAGAATGGAGCTAATAATCCTTGTTTTTTCTGTAGCCCTTGTTGCGAAGAACAAATGAGATCAAGATTGTGAAGCCCTTGTTGATCTGTAAGCCAATCCGAGTACACTGGTTATTTGAGGATTTCGAAGCACTTTGAAAAGGCTCTGGGTGGCTCTGTCGGTTACGCGTCTGCCTTCGACTCAGTCATGATCCCAGGGTCCTGGGATCGAGTCCCGCATCGGGCTCCTTGCTCAGTGGGGACCCTGCTTCTCTCTCTGCCTGCCGCTCCCCCTGCTTGTGCTCTCTCTCTCTCTCTCTCTCTGACAAAATAAATCAATCTTAAAAAAAAGAAAAGAAAAGGCAAGGGGTGAGGGAGATGTGAAGAGGGGAAAGACAGGCTATTCATTCAGGCATGCAGCAGATACTCACCGAGCACCTGCTAAGTGCCAAGCACTGTGCTAGGTGCTGGGGAGGCAGTTATCATCCCTGCCCTTCGTGGAACTTCACAGTTTAGTTGGAAAAGCAGAATTTCCTTAAACAACCTATCTCTTAGACGGTCGTGAAACTGCAGCTGTGATTGTAGTGGAGGGTGGTGGGTGGGTCAGGGGACTTTCTCCGCAGATTTGGCTAGAATTCCCTCCTATCTCTGCCCCAGCCTTTGTCAGAGTCAGTTCTCTGAGCAACAAGAGGGGCTCCAGCCAGTGTTTTTCCCTGTGGTGATGGAGAAGATCATAGTAAAGGTTGTCAGATGACTGCCATGATTTCAGAAAGTGGAGTATTGACTCGTAATGAGTAGGGATGTCAATGATTTAGTGAGAACCAAGCAAATAAAAAAAAAACAAAACAGGACGCCCAGGTAAATTTAGATTTTAGGTATTGGATACCATATTTGGGACATATTTATACAAGAAGTTACTTATCTGAAATTCAAATTTAGTTGGGCATCCAGTATTCTATCTGGCAACTCTAACTATGAGGATCCCCGCATTAATGAATAAAAATGACTCCTTATTAAGCACTGCCTACGTTAAGCCCAGGCCTTACAGATAGTAGCTCATAGCATCTCCACGAATGGAGCGGGACAGGGGTTGGCCTGTGACTGAGGAAGCTCCTGAGGCCCCGGGGGCGGGGGGCAAGTGACTTGTCCAAGGTCACACAGAACTAGTGGCAATCCCAAGGATGAGTGTAAGGGTTCTGTGACCTGGCCTTAGAGGAAAGGGGCAGTCTGCTGCCCCTCCCATTTTAACAAAGCTTCCGGGGCGGGGAGGGGCAAAAGTTAGGGGTCTTACCTGGTAGCAGGACAAGGGCAGGTGAACAGGAGCCGTGACTTTTCTGAGTTCTGTGGTACAAATGGTGGGCTAAGAATCATCCAGTCAGGCATTCATTTATTCAGCATTTAGTGAATGCTGCATGTTAGAATTATTTGGGGGAACTTTTAACCTGCCTTGGCCCTACATCAGACTAATTGAATCTGATGCTCTGGGGATAGGGCCTAGGCCTTTCAGAAAGCTCCCCAGAGGATTCTAATGTGCAGCTGATGGTGAAAACCAGTGGTCTCGTTCAGTGGTTCTCAGACTTGAGTGTGTTGTAGGATCACCTGGAGAGCTTCCTTTTTTTTTTTTTTGTTATGTTAATCACCATACATTCCCCTGGAGAGCTTCTTAAAACCAATTTCTGGCACTCATCCTGAGTATAGATTCAGCAGATCTGGGGTGGGGGCTGGGGATTTGCCTTTCTAACAAGATACTGATGCTGTTCATCCTGGGACCGCACTCTGAGAACCACGGATCTAGCTGGTGAGACAGAATTGTTTACTAGTGATTAACAAAGGGAGACAAATGTGAGGATACGGGCACAGGTGGTACAAATGAGGCCCCTAACCTGGCTGGGAGGATCAGGGAAGGTTTCCCAGAGGCTCAGTCTTTAATCCACGTTGGGGTTAGCCCGATAGATAAGGGGGAAGAGCGCTAGACACGAGGAATGACTTCTTTCAAAGACCGGGAGGTGGGGAGTTGGGTAGAGAGCAGGGTGCAGATGTGGGAGCGGAAGCTAGAGAGACAGATGTCCCATCTTTGCGGGTCGTGGAGACTTATCTTGAAGGCCTTGGGGAGGCACCAAGTGTCCAGTGGCCTGCCCTGACCCTTCCTGTGGGTTTGCTGCACTCACCAGACCCCTGTCTTGGGAAAGGGAGCCAGGGAGCTTTTCTTTTCAGGCCCCACCCTTGACTTTGTTCCTGTCTGTTCCAGCCTCACCTTTGGTCCTTTCTGGGTATTCCAGCCATGGGTACTTGAACATGGACCTGGAGATGTCAAAGATATCAGTTGATTTTTCATAGGCCATCCTCCTCTTCTTCTGGTGAGGCCAGAGGGAACCTAGGTGGGGCCATGCAGGGCTGTTGGGAGCGTGGGGGCACAGCTGGGAGAGACCTGTCCTCTGTGGCACAAGGGGAACTGGTGAGGGACTGGGGCTTCTGCGGGTAGAATCTTCTGAGTGTTGAGCAACCAGATCTCCTAGGTAAATGGAAGACTCCAGTTCCATTCTTGAGCCCCGCCCCCCCAGCCCCCACCCCTGGGGTCTCCTGGCCTGTGGCCTTGAGCTAGTCACCTGACCTCCGGGAGCTTCCGTTTCCTCATCTGAAAAGTGGGAAAGTCATGCCTGTCTGGGAGCCAGAGGGGCTGTGGTGAGGCATGCACGGGAAAGAAAGTCAAAGCATTTGGTGAACTGTCAAGCGCACATCAGCCCATGGGAGGGGCAGGGATGGTTCTTAGGATTAGTCATCAGGAAAATGGCAGGAGCGGGAAAACCCCGTTTGTACACACACGTCCCTGCCTGGCTGCAAGAGACTGAGCTCTTCCCTGTGTGGTGAGGGAGCTGCCTTCCGTACCTCCTACTTTTACATATGCTGTTCCCTCCACCTGTCAGGCCTTTCCTACCTGCTAAACTGTTTCTCCAATCTTCCAAACCTCATTTAAATGCTGTCTCATCTCTGACATCTCTTTTCTCCCCCAGGCACCCTGCCTCACCTCCTTCAGTGGTGTCATCCCCCCCGCCCCTCCCACTCCCAGTGTGACCACAGCTTTTTGAACCGTTGCTTCCCTTTAGGTGTTTATCATATGTTTAATCTGCCTAAAGTTAAAGATTGTGGCTTGTGGCTCATTCATCTCTCTACCCGCCAACCTCCCATGCCTGACATAGTGCCTGTCACACATCAGCGAGCTCGCTGTGGCAAGAAAATCTGGACCGTCAGGCCATCAGACTCAACATCACCAGTAAACCAACATGTACCCTGATGTGCTGCACTGAGAAACCCAGTGTCACCCATGTGGTGTCCCTGCCAGAAATGTTTAACCCGAATCCAATTATAAGGAAACAACCAGGCAAATCCAAACTTAGGGAACATTCTACAAAGATTTTATATGAACTCCTAATAAAATACTTGAAGTCACACAAAAAAAGTCTGCTAACGAACACTAAAAAAGACAGGACAGTTAAATTCAATATGTAGCGAATTGCTTAATGCTCACGAGGAAGGAGAGTTCCCGAGGAGGCAGTCAAACCAGGATCCAGCTTGGTAACTGCATGGAGAATTTTAACGGGAAGCTGATTTCTCACATTTTGCCAGTCAGCCCTTCCAGTGAGGGGCTGAGAGAGGAGCTGTGGCTGCAGGACTTTACCGAAGGAGCCCAGTCTTCCTCCCTTCTTCGCCTCCAGAGGCAAGCCGACTTCCTTTCTGATTGCAGAGCCGGGGCCAAGAAGCCAAGGGGCCTAAATGAAGCTCAGAGCCGAGAGACTGTGTGCACAAGGCAGAGCCTCAGGAGCCTTGGGAGCTTTAGGCGGAGGAGGCTTTTATAGCTGCTGCTGGCTGGTGGAATCTGTGCCCTCCCAGGAGGGAGCGGAAGCACGGGTTTGTGGGGAGTCTCCCAAGCTGGTTAGGACAAGAACAAGAAGCACTAGGGAAGTTTGCATGAGTTCAGGTTCAAGACGCCCTCCATCCTAACTCATCTCCAAAGAGTTGATGTGGTCCCGCACCCATTTCTTCTGTGGGTTGGCACACACCTGGCAGTGCCTCTGGGTGCTTCTCCTACAGAGAAGAGGACAGGATGAGACCTGGTCAGCACCCAGACCAGCCAGTTTGGGGGATGAGGCGGACTGAGCCACAACGGCATGAAGACGATGGTACTGGGGTGGGGCATTCTTGGAGCTCCATAAGGTTGGATTTGTAGCTTTTAAGGAAAAGGCTGTTCTCCTCTTCTGTTGGGTCATAGGGCTCCAAACCAAAAGCAGATCTGTGTGCATGTTAACCCCCACACAAACCCATGCAACCTGGAGAGCTAAGGGCACATGGACCCTGAGGAGTCTAGGATCGCGCTGGTCAACCACTAGCTTTCCTCAGCGCATCTCGGTTTCAGACTCTATGCTGGGTGCTCAAGGTACAGAGAAAAAGAGGCGTCTTCTAGGAACTGAGTCACGGTTGACTAAGTGAGAGATAAGAAGTGGTAAAAAAACAAAACAAAACAAAAAAATAAACAAAGGCACGATTTGGCTTTAGATCATACAGTGCCTGGCACAGGGTAGACCCTCAACAAATGAATACATCTATGCATGTGTGCATCAGTGACAGAAGGACGTGAACTTGAGTCTTGATTTCACTACTCGTTAGTGGATTCACCCTGGCCAATCACTTCAGGCCTCTGAATCTAATTTGTTTACCTCTAAAATAGAGATAGAAATAATTCCTACTTTGCACCGTTGTTGTGAGACTCAAATGAGATAGTATTATGGAGGTATGGAAAATACCACACACGTATTGTTATTGGGATGTTATGGGATTCTTCTTTGGGAGGGATCAGAGCCACATGACAAAGGTCCTGGTACTGGGTATCAGTGCCCAGCGAGGTCGAAGGCCCCGAGGTATAGCTGTTGTCAAAGCACTTCTACCAATGAACCCCGCCAGAACGTGGAGGCCTCTGGGAGGGAGAGGCCTTATTTCCACAGGTGTTGATGGTAGGCACTGGAGGTATAAAAGCCTGCAGGGCACGGCCTCAGTCCAGCTGCCTGCCTCGCCTGTTTGCTAGGAGACTGGCTCTATCTGGGGGAGACCGTGGGTGTAGTGAGCGGTGCTGTGCATTAACATGTTCCTTTTGGGCCAGCCCTGTCTACTTGGACCTATCTCCTTTCAGCTTCTTTAGGATGTTTTCCTGCACCTTTATGAGCCTAAAGTTTTTCAGACAAAGTGAGGACTTAGGTCGTCTGGTGAGAATGAGGGTTTCTCGGTTTCTTTTCAGGTTCTATCCTGGATAGTATTTGCTCTCGAAGAAGCTGCCTCCCCTTTTCTGAAACTCAGAGCCACTTGACCATGTCTCTTTCTTCCATTCTAGTGTGCAGAGGAGAGAAAGGGAGCAGATGGAGTATTCTGGGCTCTCATGCCTCCTAGTGTTTGTTTGCTTATTTGGGGTGGTGAGGGAGCTTCAGACCAAGCCCCTGTCCTTGTTCAGCCACGAGGCAGACAGGAAATCCTACAGACTTGATATCCTCTCTCCTCGGCCCCCCTCAGCCTGTGGCCAGGAAACCAAAAGGGCAGGAAACGAATATCTAGAGTGAGGGTTTCTCAGGCCTCCATTTCCTCCTGAAGAACGTGAGACTGAGGAAAAACCCCTCCTGGCTAAGCTAAGCTTCTCTCCCTGCCCCCATTTTGGGGACCCCCTACTTGCCTGACTCCCCTCCTGCCTCTCTTCCTGCCTGTTCTCTTGGGAGCAATCTCCTCCGCCTGCCCCTTGAGAGCAGGTGTTCTCAGAATTGCTGCCCTTTTCTGTTTTTCTCCCAAGTCTCTGGCCCTCGGTCTGGCACAGTGCGGGGGCTTAATGGGTGTTTATTGAATGAGGTAGTGAATGAACTGCATTCACTCATCAAGTTTTACTTGTCACTTCTGTGTATATAATAGTACATTTGGAGAAGGAGGAGGAGGAGAAGTTAACACTTATCAGGCACCAACTGTGTGCCAGGATATATTCCAATTTCGTTTTTCATTTCCTTGTTCTCCCTTTGAGCCAGTGAGGGAAGTACTTCTTTTTCACTCCACTTCGCAGATGAAGAAATGGAGGCTCAGAGAGGTTAACTGCTGGGTCCAAGCTCCTGCCACTGCCAATTCGAACCAAGGTTGACTAGCTCTGGGGCCATTGTTCACCAAGACTCTGCTAAAGATTGCCACTCTCATCTCAGAAGACCCTTTCGTCCTATAAAAGAATGTCCTGTCTCTAGCCCCAACGCTCTTTTCTAGCTACCAACACCTCTTCTCACGCTCCCTGCTGGACATTGCCACAGGGTTTTCGTGCTGGCACTTTGGCTCTTTCCTCTTTAAACAGCTCTTCCTTGAGACTTGCGGGGCGGAGGTGGGGGGGGGGGGTGTCTGTACTTCTCCAGCCGTCTGTGTAGAAACCTAAGTCATTTAACCCCCCTCTCGTCCTTGCTCCTGACCTCACCTCACCTGCCAGGGCTTGCTGACTCCACCTGTGACTTTTTCCTACCCCATCTCTCCTTCCCTTCCCCTTCAGGTCGTTTAGCCTCAAAACTGCTCACATAGATAACTGTACCAGCCTCTTAACTGGGTCTGATCTTTCTAGGCTTTCCCGGTGCCAGCTCATCTCACTCGCTCTAACGCTTTTTTTTCATTGTGCTGATACTTGAGGCCCTCATTGCTTTTCTACATGGGGACGCTGCATCAACCAAAGGAGAGTCCTGGTGACATTCGCTCTGCCTAGTGTACCCAGTCCCTCAGGCTTTTCTCAAACACCTTTTGCAGCCAACTTCCCCTCACCCCCGAGGCTGGATGTGCTCCCTCTCTCCTTTTGTAATTTTTTTTTAGGCAGTGTTACTCCAGTCATTCTGCATCTGTCTTTTCCTTGTATCAGACTGTGAGTCCCATGAGGGCAGGGATTGTGGTTTATTCATCTCTGCCTGCCCATAACAGGTGCTCAGAGAAGGATTTTTTTCTTTTGAAAAATATTTGTTTTCAGAGATAAAATTAGTAGTGCTAAATATTACTATACTTTGAAGGACTCACCAGAACAAAAGGTAATTCTGAATACCTATAGCTTTGCAAGTGTCACAGGAATTTCTGGATTAAAAAAAACTTCAAAGGATGCCTGCGTGGCTCAGTTGGTTAGGTGTCTGCCTTCGGCTCAGGTCACGATCCCAGGGTCCTGGGATCGAGCGCCGCATCGGGCTCCTTGCTCAGTGGGGACCCTGCTTCTCTCTCTGCCTGCTGCTCCCCCTGCTTGTGCTCTCTCTCTCTCTCTCTCACAAATAAATAAAATCTTTAAAAAAATTAAAAAAACTTCGTTATATAGGAAACTTCATGATTACCACATTTTCATTCTTTAAGTCTCTATCATCTTAAATTTCAACCATCATTGTTGACCTTTCTGTAGTAGAAAGAGGAAGCCCCAAAGACAGGCTCTATCCCTCGCTTACTGTGCATCCTTGGGCAAGTCACCAAACCTCTCTGGGTCTCAGGTTCATTATCTGAAACATGAAGAGAATTATGCATACCTGTAAGGGTTGTTATGATGAAATTTAGGGGTAATCCATGTAAGACATTTGATACACAGTAGGCACTTTCTAGGTAGTAGACTTAATTTTTTCAAATATATTAGTTCACATATTTAAAGGAGAATCTCATGTCATTATTTCTTCACCACTTGATAATTTTCTTTTAAATACACTTGACTATAACTAGGGCTCTGGCCTCTGACCTCTTCCCCTTAGATCCTCTGAGGTTGTAAGTGGATTCAATTGGGTGTGGGATATGGGGGAATGTGGGGTTCTTAGTTGGAGAGAGATGACTGTGTTGATCTTTTCTCCATGCAGGAGCATTGTAGGTCACGTTACAGTAAAAGTCATACTCGTAAAGATCAGAGACCTGACCCAGTTTGACTGAGTGGGGAGAACTGCCCCGGGAGCCCCTGTCTAATCTACGTGATAGCAGGTGGGGGGGGTCTGAAGCTACAGAAGGAGGGACTATGGCTAATTGAGCAGCTGGAAGATGGGTAGGAGTGGATAGGGTGCCCTCTTAGAGGGCTCCTGTGGGGGGCTGGCTCTGGGACAAGAGGTGTCCCTTCCTCACTCCCCCTGCCCCCATTAGAAGGTCCACAGGGCTGGGACTCACAGGACGGCTGGCATGGAGCACTTGCTGCTGGTGTAGAAATACTGCTGGATGTGGGTGAAGGGCAGTCGGCGGGAGATGTAGGCAAAGCAGCAGGGTGTGGTGTCCGAGGAGAAAACCAGGAGACCCCCGTATTCATTGCTATTGCACACGGGGTATTGTGCTGCGTACGTTACCTTGGATAGACGCTTATCCTCCTTTAGCTGAAACTGAAGCTCAGAGAGGTAAAGTCACTTGGCCGTGGACACACAGTAGCAGAGTGGGGGATTCCAACAGAGGATTGAGACGATCTCTGCAATCCTTCATCTAATCCTCGAGTCTTGCTTGTATCCTTCCCTCTATACCATAACCCTTTGCCTTTGGCTCTACGGATATTCTGGGCTTCCTCCTAGCTCGTCTTGGGCCCCTTGCCCTTATTCTTGCCCTCCCGGAATCCTCAATGGATTCAGAACTTTGTTTCTTTGAGACCTACAGTGGGTTGGGGGAGGCTTCCAAAACTCAGACTTCATGGCTCAGCCTCAACCCTCAAGAGGGGCCTGAAGATGTGTATTGCATCCTGGGAGACTCTGGCTGAGGCATGATAAGGGCTCTGAACAGAGAAGGACTCTTTGTTGCTCAGTTAATTCAGGATGACCCTGGAAAGTGTCAGTTGCCACTTCCCAGTAAAGTAGGAGTGTTAAAAGCCAGATAGAACTGAGTTTGAACACCAGTGTCCCTATACTCCCTGTGTGACCTCCGGCAAGTTACTTAACTCTGCTCTGTTAAGTCAAGCTCAGCAACTCTAAGAGTAGTGGCAAGTATTAATTGACATGGTACATGCAGAGCAGTCAGCATAATACTTGATACACACTAGGCTTTTAAAAATCCTCTCCCAGGGCACCTGGGTGGCTCAGTTGGTTAAGCGTCCCACTGTGGATTTCAGCTCAGGTCATGATCTCCGGGTGGTGGGATCGAGCCCTGAGTCAGGCTCCTTGCTCAGTGGGAGTCGGCTGGAGATTTTCTCTTTCCCTCTCTCTCTCCACCCCCCCCCCACTCTCTCTCTCTCTCTCTCCCAAATATATCTTAAGAAAAATTAAAATAAAAAAAATTAAAATCCTCTCCCAAGCCCCACTTCTTCCATCTATGAAATGGGGAGAATATGACTGTCCCAAACTTAGAAGTTTCTTAGGAACCCTACTGGTGATAGGCATAAGTTAGCTGTGTTTCAAGGTCAGTTCAAGGCTGCCTCTGCCTGCTAATATCCCCAGCATCAGTCCTCACTCAGGACCTGGAGGGCTTGGGTGTACATCTTGAGGACAGAAAACTTGAGCAGAGAGGGTCCCTGCCATGAAGTGGCTCCAGGGACAGCTGGACATCTGGGTAAAGCAATATCTAGAAATATAAATCACTGGGTTCCGACAGCATAAATGCTGCAGCTGGAAAGGAGGGCAAAGTCTGGGCCAGTGTGAGGGTCTGGCCCCAGGCGGCGGTGGTCAGCACCTGACTTACATGGGGAGGCAGAGGCAGGAGCGCAGATGGCGACGGTGGCCAGGAGGATTGCAAAGGTAGCTGCGGAGACCTTCATGGTACCTGCGGGTGGAGGCTCCGGGAGAGCCACCTGCTGTCTTGGGATCCTCTGCAGGGATCCTCTGCTGCCGAGAGGCTGGCCCTTTATAGTCAGGCCAATAGCAGGGGCGCCCCCCAAGGGGAGTTTCCAAAACAGCAGCCACGGACTGCTTGATATCATAAGTGAAATTGCACAAAACGGAAAAGAAAACTGAAATAGCCTCCGGAAATTTGAGTCTCTTTCTCTCTCTCTCTCCTCCTCACCGCCTCTGGTCCAGAGTGAGCTCATTGGTTCCTTCTTTGCCCTCCAGAAGAGCTAATATAGGCACTGGTGGTGGAAAACCTCCTCCTCTGATGGCATCTTCAACTTCGTCTTCTGGGGCAGGGGTGCTCATGAGAGGTCAGGATGCTGCTTCCCTGGGGGCAGAGGAGGGCAGTTAGGATGGATTAGAAATAAACCCAGTGTTTATTTGGTTGCTTTCAATGTTCTTGCTCGTGCATTACAGATCTGTATTTCCCCTCTCATCCATGGAAGGGAGGGTTCTCTGACATATAGCCCCCAAAGGAGGTGAGAACACCCACCCGATGGTACCAACCACTATTCTAAAGGTTTTTTTTTTTTTTAAGATTTTATTTATTTATTTGAGAGAGAGAGAATGAGAGACAGCACGAGAGGAAAGAGGGTCAGAGGGAGAAGCAGACTCCCTGCTGAGCAGGGAGCCCAACGTGGGACTTGATCCCGGGACTCCAGGATCATGACCTGAGCCGAAGGCAGTTGCTTAACCACCTGAGCCACCCAGGCGCCCCACTATTCTAAAGGTTTTACAAGCCAAGTCATTTACTGTTATTATGTTCATCCCCCCCCCATTTTACAGATGAGGAAATTCAGTAAACGCTGGGATCCCCTCTCCTTTCTCAAATCTTCTTGGATACAAAAGTTACAGAATTTGAAAGCTGCAGAGGACCCTAGGAATCATTTCTTCCATGTCCTTCAATTGCAGAGGAGGAAACTGAGGCCCAGAGAGCAGAAATGACTTGCTAAGAACACACAGCAAATGAACGATGGGATCAGAACCTGGGTGCCCTGGTTCCTGCTTCAGTGCCCTGTCCACTCAGTACTACCTACCATGAAAATGTTCGTGGTTGGGGACATCCGTGAACTGAACCCATGTGGGGTCTTGATTAGAGACAAGTTCCTTACTCCATTCCAATGACTTGGGTTCAGTAAATCTTCATCCATTCCTTTTGTTGTTGTTGTTGTTAAAGATTTATTTATTTATTTTTGAGAGAGCAAGCGAGCATGAGCTAGGGGGGAGGGGGGAGAGGGGGCAGAGGGAGAAGCAGACTCCTCGCAGAGCAGGGAGCCCGAGGCGGGGCTCCATCCCAGGACCCTGGGTCATGACCTGAGCCGAAGGCAGATGCCTAACCAACTGAGCCACCCAGGCGCCCTCTTCATCCATTCCAATTCGGATAATTCAGAATAGTGACAGTTTGGCCTGGGCTGGGCTGGACTGAGGCTGAAATCTGAATTATCTAAGAGAAAATTGTCTATGGACAGTGACAAGAGCAAACACATTTAAAAAGAAGAGTAACTTTAAAAAAATCTTCTACCACGAATATTTTCTTGCTAGCTCTTGTGACAAACGTAACTTGGGGGCTGAGGGTGACTGAATGACCTAGAATGGGAAGACCTCTCGTTTCTCCTCACAGGGACTTTGAGGAAGGGTGGTTATTCTTATTTCACAGAAGAGGTCATTAAGATCCTCAGAGTCATGTGGCTGATCAGTGGGATTGAACCGAAGTGCTTCTGATGACCAGGCTCAAGTCTTTTCCACTGAGTCACATCAGTCAGGCAGTTAGCCGTCACTGTGTCCTGTCTAGGTGCCGGTGGCTGTTCTAAGCCTGTCCTTGGAAGACTCTCCTCCCTGCCTCATGACTCATTCACCCATTTACAATAGAAACGCAATTTTGAAAACCATGGCCATCTCATTTAAAGAAACACATGGAAGCACTTTTGAAACATTCACCTATCCACACAAAAATGGTCTGCCTGTTTTAATTGTTCCCCTCACACAGTCAGTCCCCTTAGTTACCAAACATGTGGGAGGCCGTGTAGCCTGGTGGCCAAGAGCAGGGGCTTTGGTGTTTTTCCTGTTTATTAGACAGCCTTTGGCCAGATACTTAATCTCTCTGGCTTTAGTTCCCTCATCTCTAAATCAGGGGTAATAATAATGGTCCTCCCCACAGCTGTTGAGACAGTTAAGTTCCTATGAATGTGTTCGTGTGCCTAATGCATGTTAAGTACTTAATAACGTTAGCTATTGTTATCATGTTATTATAATGGCAGTCCCTTTAGGGATATTCTCTACTTAGGCTTTTCAGCAGTCTAGATCAGACTGCCAATTAATATGGATTAGTGAGCTTTATCACAAAAAGTGTTTGTTTTTAAGCAGACGGGTCGGTTAAGGTGTAGGGTAAGCGACTTGCTGAGGTCGCATAGCCCACAGTGGTAGAGCTCGACCTTGAACCCAAGTCTGTCTGGGTTCATAGACTTCCTACCACACCGCATCATTTCTAGAGAAATCCTGAAACTTCTGCTAAGATTCAGTTTGTCCATGTGAGCTCTATTTCTGTTTCCTTTCTCTGATCTCAGTTTCCCTCTTTGAGGAAGAAAGCAAAGTATTTTCCTAGATACCAAATATGCTGAGTTGGGACACTAGCTGAGGTAAGAAGTGAGATGGACCAACATGATCCTCATCCTTAAACCCTTTCTGCTGTGTGTGTGTGTGTGTGTGTGTGTGTGTGTGTGTGTGTGTGTGTAGGCGGTAGTGGGAATGGGGTGTAGGTAGGATGGTGGTGTTGCTGAGCAGGAGTAGGCAACGAGTATAGGCAACAGGAGTATATTTCGTCCCTTTTGGTGATTCCAGTGGATTTTGGGAACCAGAGAGAGGGTAGACCCTAACTGTAATTCCATTTCTACCCCTCATTACCTCCTGTGCAAAATCCGGTCCGGACTCATGGAATCAGTATATTCTCTGGTTTTAAGGTACTGATTCCATGAGGAAATCAAAGTGCAGGTTCGATGAATGACAACTATCCTTATGATTCACCCAGCGTTTTATGTCCCTGAAAATGAGGGATGCCTGTCTGTGTGACCCACGCACGGATGGTTGAAAGAATCAAGGAGAGTAATGACTGTGGACGTGCTTAGGGGACTGTAAGGTGAGGTACGAACATCAAGAAGCCCTCTCTGCCCTTCCCCCACCTCCCGCCAGTGCGTTTGGTCTACACCCACTCAGTCCTTGTTCACCTGCAAACTATTCCTGTGAATTGCTGTGAGCCAGGTACTGTTGTAGGTGCTGCGGATGCCATGGTGAGCAAGTCAACCACCTGCCCCCTGGAGCATGCGCTTGTGTGTGTGTGTGCATGTGGTGGGCGGAGAACTGGACGGTAACAAGTAAAAATATGCTTCATTGTGAGTCACCTTTGCACTGGTCTTGTCTTAACTACCTGGAAAAAATAACAATGTCCTATGGTTTTTCTTTTCCAGTTGCTTTTTGTATTCTCCCCCTGCTTTCCACCAAAATCTTGGACACGATAGATGCTGAATTCATGCTGGTTTAATCTGAATAACTTTTTTTTAAAAAAGATTTTATTTATTTATTTGACAGAGAGACACAGCAAGAGAGGGAACACAGGCAGAGGGAGTGGGAGAGGGAGAACAGGCTTCCCGCGGAGCAGGGAGCCCGATGCGGGGCTCGATCCCAGGACCCTGGCATCATGACCCGAGCCGAAGGCAGACTCTTAACGACTGAGTCACCCAGGTGCCCCTAATCTGAATAACTTCTTACAGCATCTTGAGTAAGTACATGGGCTCTTTAGAGTCGGACTCCTAGGTTAGCACATGGCTCTGTTACTTATCAGTGCCAACCTGAGCAGATTGCTCACCTTCTCTGGGCCTCAGTTTTGTCTGTGAAGTGAGAGATTGCTTCCAACCCATTTTGGACAATGGAGCCCTTGAAGAATCTGACGAGAGCTGTGAACGCTTTCCACAAACACTTGGAGGCCCACATAGACACATGTAATTTTGTGTCAATGAGGTTCACAGACCCAGCAGGCTCATTGACAGGCCTCTTGAGTCCACAGGGCTGGTTGTCATCAGCACCCCCTCCTCCTGGATGTGAGTACATTCCTCGCTAGAGCTAGACACACTCTTTCCAGCCTAGCTCAGGCCCTCCCTTGCCCTCCTGGCCCAGTCTCCCTTTTCCTCTTTCGTTCCTTCCCTGAGCTCAGCTGGCTGCCTGCCCAGCCTCACACTGTGATGTTAGGAAACCAAAGGCCGGCAAAGAAAGCGAAACCTCATTCCCTCTGAGTTCCAAAGCTTTGCTCAGACCCGGAGTTCCCCTCACGATCGTGTGGGGAACAGCTTTGTTTTTTCTGGCTGCTTTAAAAAAAAAAAAAAATGTCCAAAGCAGGGAAAGTCCCTCCATTCTCTAGGAATGCCAGTCTGGGCCCCAAGAGAAGCCTGAGGCAAAGCTGTTCCTCCTGAGGAGCCTTGATTTTCTCCACCTGCAAATTGGAGAGCTGCTCTCTGGCTGCGTCCCTCCTCTGTCCTCGTTTACAAATATAAGTATTTCTCCCAGGAGCCAGCTAGCTGGTCTCTCACCCCTGTGTCCACAGGGCCCTGCCTGGGGTAGGTGCTCTAGCAGTGCTGTTGGAGGGTCTGAAGGGGTAGCAACATGGAGGAATTGCCCAGCTGGAGGCAGGATTCAAACCCCTATCCGGATAGGACTCTTTCTGCTGCACCTTGTCTTTCCTTTTGGTCTGGTTTGTTCTTTCTCTGCCATTCTATCCTGCGCCTCTGCGTGCACCCCCCACATGCACCTCCTGTGCATTTCACCAGGTCAGGGGGACTAACTGTGACAACTGCTTTATAGTTTCAACCACATTCGGGCTGGAAGGCTGCAGCTCGGCCTGCCCCCACGCTTCTCACCTTCACCACACGGGACAGTCAGCTGT